CCCCCCCCTCTCTTCCTCCACACACCTTCCCTTTTGGCTTTTAAGAAATTTCCGCCACCGCCTCGGGTGAGATTTTATGTGGTCTTCTTCCGAGCGCACTGCCCTTCCAGACACGGCCGCGCGGCGTTCGCCGCTCCCTCGATACTCCCCCCTTCTCTCTCTCTCTCTCTCTCTCTCTCTCTCTCTCTCTCTCTTTCTCTCTCTCTCTCTCTCTCCCCGTCGTAGCTCGCTCCATCGCACCCTGCACTCACGTGTGCTATTTAATTTAAAGGCCGACCCTGGAGTGGCCGCCTTCGCCCGCCCCACCTCCGCGCCCGTGTGTCCGACTCGCCCAGCGACGTCCAGCAAAGTGACACGAGAGAAATATGAAAACGATAATCCCTCTGCGGTACATTTCATTAACGCTGCCGACACGCGAGGCTCGGAGAGAGCGAGAGAGAGCGAGAGAGAGGGAGAGAGAGAGAGAGATGCCACGCCAGTAACGGAGAGGAGCACAGCTCCCGGTCGCCTGCACACATCGCTTGTGCATGTTCGTGACAACGCGTGAACGGTAAAAGATGGCAAAGCCCACCCTTCACCCCCCTCCCTCCTCCCCCACATAAATACAAACAAATAATAACAATAAACATACTCCAAGCCAGTGCTGTGGGCGCCTGGAGGGTAGGCCGCCGGAAGAGTCCGGCGTACACGCGTGTCCCCGTGCGGCCTACCGTCCAGGCGACTCGCAGCTCACGGAGACAAGCCACTTCGCACACCCCCTTCATTTTTGGAGACGGTCGCTCTCTCTCTCCCCCCCCCCTCTCTCTCTCTCTCTCTCTCTCTCTCTCTCTCTCTCTCTCTCTCGCTCTCCCTCTCGCTCCTCCCACTTTCGCTGTCTCTCGCGGCTCTTCTACCGCGCACTGTGGCGTTGGTGTTTTGGTGGGTGCCTCAGCAGGAGCGAACCAACAGTTTGGGCCCCGTAAAGAAAGGGAAGTGTGTGAGCGGGAGGAGAGCGCCGGGGGCCAGAGTGTTGGGGGAGGGGGGGGGGCTGTCCCTAAATATTTGACTTACCTTTTCGGGCCGCCGAGATTCGCACGTGTCGTGACGATATACTTCATGAAGCAAACTTTAGGTGATTGTTCGAAGATATTACATTCCAAATAATTGTTGTACTTTTTGTTCAGGTACACATTCAAATCGCTGTATAAAGCTAGTACATAGAACCAGCATCGCGTTATTATTTCATTCCTGTCAAAAGAGAGGGGGAAAAAAGAGGAGAAAGGGCGGCGAACAGGCCATGTGTAGCGACAACGAACATCGCAGGTACGGGGGGAAAATGTAAAAAAAAAAATGAGGAACGGACCAGATATCCTTCTCGCAGGAAAAAGGGAGAAAATGTGTGGAGGTCGAAGCAGCGACGAATGGCGAGGGGGTGTTCAGGCAGGGCGGGGCGGGGCGTGGAAGGGAGGACGTCTAGCGTTGTGTATGACCGCGGGCACTCCATCTTTCCCGTGGAGTGGGCCGGGGCGGGCGGTGGGCGCCCGGCAGCGCCAGACCTGGCTGCATTTCAAATTAAATTACGTGTGATTGTGTGCGGCTGTGTCAGGGCGCGCGGCGGGGCGGGGCGGGGCGGGGAGGCGCGCCGGAGCAGAAGTGATAGCCGAGAGGTGACCAGCCGTGTGGTGGGGCCCAGGCCCGGGCCCTTGAATGATGCTGCCGCTGGCGTGCCGGCGATAAGGCTCGGCTAAAAATGCCTTTTATGCTGTTTTCTATCGTGGGGAGGAGAGCGGGGAGAGGGGGGAAGATTTAGGTGGGCGATGCCGCTACGCTCTAATGAGGGAAAGGGGGTGGGAGAAAGAGACACAGTAGCGATAAACGGCGTCACAAGCTGACCTGCGTCCTCTGCTGCTTCCCTCCCCCCCCCCTCTCTCTCTCTCTCTCTCTCTCTCTCTCTCTCCACTGGACCGCTGCCACCCCTCGTCCTCGGGCCGCACCGCATCGCCCGCACCGCCCGCCCACAGCCCCAAAGAGGTCACCTTCATCACCGGCGTCATGCATAGTTTCACTCTCCGCAACAGACTTTTCGTAAAATGTTTAACCCTCTCTTTTCCCCTTGTGACATCAGGCGCAAGATAACAAGTTAGCTGTTAACAATTTTCTAATTCAATCTTTAAATAAACAGGTATTTTTTGTTGTGTGCTTTGTATCTCATCTTGCGTTTCTTGTTCTTAGGAATTATTGTGTGCATTGTGGGTCACGACTTACTCCTAGGTCCCCTGTCGAATCACGATGTAAAAGAAGTTCGACCTGCCACCTGCCTCTGTGACTACAGCAAGGCAAGTGATAATAAGTATGCTTTATCATTGGAAATTAACCGCCCACATGATGCTCTTGCTCGTTGGTAAGTACATAGGGAGAGCGAGGCGTTGGGCACCGGTTAGGGGAGGTATGGGCGGAGGGTTGGGAGCGGGGATGGCGCATCAAGATAAGAGGGACGCATCCGGTCTCCATGGGGCCAGGATCACGGAGGGACTTTAATGTGGTGCCTCGGAGAGGGATAGAGGGTAGAGAGAGGGGGGGGGGGGTAGAGAAGCGTGTGTAAAGATATAGCGATGCCGCGATAACAACAGATATAGAAATTCGAACAGACACGAGCTCGCGGCGTGTTTTGCAGAGCCCCCCCCCTCTCTCTCTCTCTCTCTCTCTCTCTCTCTCTCTCTCTCTCTCTCTCTCTCTCTCTC